CATTCTTTAATTTACATATAAATTAATAAGATCTTCAACACCGACTATTGTTCAATCTATGACAAATATAATATAAATTTTCACAAAAATTATTAACCTTTAAATAAGATGATGTTAAATACAATTTCAATATTCTCATAGACAAAAGTAGTCGTTCCTTCTCCACAACTTAAATGCAACACAATTAAAAAGACGAAAAAGTCTTTAATTAAAGTTGCATGACGTTTTAGAGATATAGTTTAGCCAACAAAGAAAAATGACAAAAGGATAAACAAAAAGCACAAAAAATGCATAATATTAAGATTATAATTTCATCAAAACATATATTCTTATCGTAAAGAGATAATAGCTTGAATTTTTTTACCAGCTCAATATTAGAGATCTTATGTCAAAGTTTTTTTATAATAATACTCTGCTACCCTCTTTAAGTGCTTAATTATACAGAATTGACAACTCAAACATATAATAGTTCATTTGTAAAATTCAGGGAAGATTGGTCAAAACAATCTGTTTACCCTCTTTAAGTGCTAAACAGATTTTTTTCCTGTTCGTTACTTGGTGTTTGTGACTAACAAAATAATCGAAGCTTGGTTTGTGGCGTTTGTATGTGCGTCGCTGGTCACTCACATGCCTTCAAGTTGGTTTGTGATATAATGGACTTATATATATATATATAACTGTAAATAGATTTTCATTTATTTAATTAATTAGTTGTAAATACAAAAATAAGTTAAAAATATAAAATTCATCTATGCAACAAGCTCTTAAGTCTTAACCACATCTTGTACGAGCTGCAGCAAGGTTAAAGATGTAAACTTCACAAATGAAGAGGTGACCCAATTTTGATTAAACCATTTCATTAGACTTTTAATCTTTAAAAAGTACTGAATCACCCTCGTGCATTGGATTAGTCTCAAACAATATTTAAGAAAAGGTACAATAAAAGCTTCAATAAAATTTTAACATAGGTGCAACATCCTTAGTGATTTGCATAAAAAAAAAAAAAAAAAAAAAAAAAAGCTTCAATAAAATTTTAACAATAGGTGCAACAATCCTTAGTGAAAAAAAAAAAAAAAAAAAAAAAAGAATGTAATCAAATACATCTCTAATATAAATATCTATACTATATATAAATTTGAGAATATGAGAAAAATAATGAGATTTTCGATATCGCCCTTAATGAAATTTAGAATATCCTAAAATAGTCTTAGTCGTAGTCAATTCAAAAATTACATTTCATACCAACGACTGTTTGGATGAGTGGTTGGACACTCTTTTCCCTTAAGTGAGATCAAGGGCTTCATCTTCATGTATGGAGCAAATGCTCACTGGGAGCATTTTACCTCTTCTTGGGCTAATCTGATGCGAGTAGGATGTAGTTTTTAGCCCAATGCGCTCGGAATACATGTGGTTAAAAAAATTACATTTTATTATTTGATTGTATATAATTTCTAAAAATTATTTTTTAAATAAATATATATAAATTATAAAAAGGAAAAAAAAGGGTATACTCTTCATTTTTTGTATGGTTGTAAGGAAAATTGAGGCATTTTTGTGTATGGTTGTAAAGGAAAATTGGAAGGGAAATTATTTTTTAAATAAATATATATAAATTATAAAAAGGAAAAAAAAGGGTATACTCTTCATTTTTTGTATGGTTGTAAGGAAAATTGAGGGTTTATTTGGCGAGAAAAAAAAGTTTTTATGTAATCTTTTTTATTAATTAATTAACTTATTTATTTATTTATTTTAAATTTGCAACTTAGAAAAATAGAGAATCAAAATTAGATTGTAGCATTATTTGCTTTGTAAATTTCATTTATTTACTTGGCTATAATCTTTTTTTTTTTTTATCAACACCAAATTTCATTAAATTACGCATTTCCATTTAAAGAAGGAAATGATTTTTGAAATTTAAATTGGTAATTTTTTAAATATAATTTGTTTCTTGTTATATAAGTTCCGAAAAAAGTTCTATTCTTAATAATATTTTTTTATTTTTTTTTATTTTCTTTTCATTACTAAATGGATGACCTCTTGATGATTAAACATTTTTAATATTTTTAATATTTTTTTATTATATTATAAATTTATTTGACTTGCAAGAAAATAGTGTATATAAAATTGAAAAATACTAGAATTATATATTTTTATTTAGAATTATATATTTTTATTTTGGGTCACTTTTTAGAGTTTCAAGAATTTGTGCATGTGCATATATTTTTTCCTCTAATACACTTGGGTAAATAATATTGTCACTATAGCCAAAATAATTATTATTATCAATTCAGATCATCTGTTCATTTCTTTTCATTACCCAGCAGTAAAAAATATTTTATTATTATTATTCATTACAGTTATATATAGATATTGATTTTGGGTTGAGAGTAGAAGGTTGGAAATTGAGTGATGACTTAATTTTTTTGTGGGCACTTATTAAGATTTTAAGAATTTGCATTTATAAATTAGGAACTGAAGGATTAGGTTTGGGGATTGAGTTGAATTTTATTTTAAGACCATTTCATTATAAAAAAAATAGAATTAAATACATAAGAAATAACATTATAAGTAGCTTATACGACAATATCCAATATAAATTAAGCAATTGTATTTATTTTTTTCTAAACAAAAATTTATACTTTAATATTATATAGGTAAAAAATTAAAATAATATAAATATATACCGAGCATAATTAACGTGCAAGGCACGTCATAAAAAGACTGGACATTTGGATTAGAGAGAAATTATAGAATGATACTCATAAAAAGAATAAAGTATTGAAAGTGTTAGTCATACCAATGGATTTCTAAGGAAAATAATATTATTTGATTTTAAGATACATATTATATTCTATTATCTATTCATTTTTATATTTTATTTTAGAAAATAGTTATTACCTTCTCTAACATTTAAATTCTGAATTCAAGAAAATAAATAGTTTGAACATACCAAATCTTGTCAATTGTATATTATAGTAAGAAAAATATTGTAAGAACTATGAATTTGATTATTAACTTCACATTTTTTAACTGTTTGGCCAAATCTAACCTTAAATAGTAATTCTAGAAACCCTAGCTATAGCTTAACTTAAACTATTCTATAAAATTTAAAACTAAATGAGGAAAATGATAACTTAACAAGAAGTTTATAGATATACAAAAATTAAAATACAAGTAAGCAAGACAATTAATCATTAAATCAAATGAATTTCCTATCGAAAATTTAGGAAAAGTAATAATAAATATGATATTTAAAATTATATTTTAAAAAATAACAATATCATCTATTTATGATCTAACTATCTATAGTAAAAATTAGAAATATCCTTAAATTAGAAAAGAGAAAAATTATATTTTTTTGAAAATTGAAATATGGGGGAATAATGAGATTTCTACTATTGCCTTAATGCAAATTGAAATATCCTTAAATTAGAAACTTGCATTTTATTGCTTGATTGGACATAATTTGTAAAAATTATTTTTTTAAATAAATATATATAGATAATTAAAAATTTTCATATTAATTTAAAATGTTTTATTTAGGAGAGAGAAAAAAAGAGAAAAAAAATACATTCTTTTTTATGTTTGTATAATTTAATTGGATATATTTAAAAATAAATAAATTTTCAAATAGAATATAGATAATATTTTATTTAGGAGAGAGAAAAAAGGAAAAAAAAATATGTTTGTATAATTTAATTGGATATATTTAAAAATAAATAAATTTTCAAATAGAATATAGATAATATTTTATTTAGGAGAGAGAAAAAAAGAAAAATTATATATTTTTTTTGTATCATTGTAGAAAAATTCACATTTGGAGAGGATTCAAAAAATAAATTTTCAAATAAAATATACATAATATTTTATTTAGGAGAGAGAAAAGAGAAAAATTATATATTTTTTTTTTTGTGTGATTGTAGGGAAAATTAGTTTATTTGGAGAAAATAAAACATTTCTTTTATATAATCTTTTTTTATTAATGAACATATTGAAATTTCAAATTTTTTTAAAAAATTTATTTTTGTATAAATATATATGATAATGAGAAATTTGAGAATTTTTATATTTTACTTTTAAATACATGATTTTATTTTGATTAAAATTTAAAATATTTTATTTAGAAGAGAGATAAAAAAGAAAGTTTTTTTTTTTTTTGGTTGCAGAAAAAATCGATTGTGTATTTAAGGAACATGGAACGTTTTTTTTATTTACAACTTACTGACTAATATTGGATCCTAATATAATTTGCTTTGTAATTTTTTATTGACTTGGATTTTAATTTTTTTTTTATCTATAAACAATAATTTTTTAGTCTTTTCAGTTGAAAATGGATTAATTTTAGAAATTTAAATTGATAATTTTTAAATATAATTTATTTGTTACTATATTTTAAGTTTTAAAAAAATTAATTCTCTTGTTCATTACTAAATTAATATTTAACTACTATCGCTTTAATTTAATAAGAAATTTATATTTTTCAAATAAATAAATGACCGATTAATGATTAAAGATTTTTAATTTTTTTTAATATTTTCTCTCTTATATTTTAAATCTATTTGACTTGAAAGAAAATAATACGTATAAAACTGAAAAAAAAAACTGAATATTTCTATTTGGATCACTTTTTAGAGTTCCATAAATTTGTAAATATACACTAAATAAGTAATTCTGCCATTATATCCAAAGTAATTTCATTATCAATTCAAAATAATTAGAATTTAAAAATTTTGCATTTATAAATTAAAGACAGAATTATTAGATTTAAGAATGAAGTTAGAAGTTAATTTTTAGACCATTTTCATCATAAAAAAACTTATTTTAATCTAAACAAAAACTTGTGCTTTAATATTATATAGATAAAAAAAATAAAAAAAACGTAAAAAATATATATATAACAAGTATAGTCACCGTGGAACACAAATCATGAAAAAGGCTAGTTACATTACAAATGCATTTGACTACTTAGATACCCCATCATGGCATATAACGAAGGCTTATTATGGTTTCTCAAGTTAATAGTAAAACAGTTCTTTCAAACACAGTACAAAACAAGTTTTCGCATAAAGAGTCAGAAAAAGTAACATTGTTAAAATACCAGAATAGACAATACCAGCAAGCAAAAACATAAAAGTTTGGGTGATTACTCATAAACATGAAAAAGTTTAGAACATTACCCAAAATTAGTTTGGAGATGGGGCTCAATTGAGTCGAATTGATTATCCCCAAGAAAAAGAAAAATGTAAACCTAAACAATCCCTCAGATTCATGTTCAATTAGGTTGTACAGAGTAGACTCCTCCAACTTGTCTGACAAAGCGTCGTCAGTGCACCCGCCAGTCCAAAGAGTCACCTCAGCCTTGACACGGATGGAGGAGCCACCATTAGGAGCCAACAGAACAATACCCTTCAATCTCTTCACTCCAATAATAATAGGAGCCGAGTGTTCTGCAGCAGAAACTGGACAAGCAGGTACAGATTCCAATGAGTATTGGAATATTGAAGAGGAATTTCTTTGTTGTACTCCTGATACCAAGCATTGCAAAAAAATGACCAGAAAGCAATGAGCATTTAAAATTTCTCAGATAAAAATTATCATAGGACAATAGAGACTGCAGCGAGAACCTGCAGCATCCTTTGTTCACTTCACCACAAATTAAAAGTCACCTGTAACAGCTTCTACACAGCAAGAGACTCAAAAATCAGGCCAAAACAATTTTTTTGAAAACATTCAGCCAAAATACTCTATTAACTGTGGTTAAACAAAAACAAAAGGTAACTGACCAGACTGTATCTCAGTAGACCACATATATTCAACTCTCAAGGTTGAACAAAAAACAAATTAAAACATCAATGCCTGTTCCAATCATCAGAATGTCATCAGGCATTATGTAATCTACCTCTTCCGACGGGTTCAGCAGCACATGCACTTCCTATTTCAGATGTCTCACAAGGATTTGCATTCCCATTTGAATCAGCTCTGTTATTCTTATAACCCATATTAGCATTCTCCGCAAAGCAATTTTCCTGGATAATTTGCAAACTAAAATAAATACAAGCAATCCATGGAAAAGAAACAGGACACATAAACTGCATACTAAAAGCAAAATAAACCAATTGTTTGATTTTAACTTTACCTTGCCAAACACATTCACTCGATCTTCAAACCCATGCAAGCTAGGTTGTATAGGAGACTGACTGAATCCAGGGACAAGCTCTACAGTACTTGAGGGAATGGCATCGCGATATAAATCTTCAGGATTAAAGCAACAATTTTTACCAGCGTATAAGCCACTATTTTGGAGTTGTTCATATCCACCAACTTCAGCAGAGCAATTTAAAGGCGTTTCAAGATCCATTAGCTCCAAAAATTTCATATTATCACCTTCGAGCCTTTGGTCCATGGAATACTTAGCACTATAATGACTGGAGATATTATCTTCGTGTTCACCAAGTCCAGTGAGGTTGCCTAGATCTCCCAAGTCACGGTAAATATCAATCCCATCCAACTGAGGATTAGCCGGAACATTTACATCATATTTAATATTAACAGCCTGCTACAAATCAATAATACGAATCAATTCCAGTACAGTATAAAACAAAAGGATTAGTAGAACCATCAAAAAAAAAAAAAAAAAAAAAAAATCATATTTAAATATTAACAGCCTGCTAACAACATCCAATAATACGATATTCTTAAATTCTCCTTACAGTATAAAACAAAAGGATTAGTAGAAACCATCCAAAAAAAAAAAAAAAAAAAAAAAAAAAAAAAAAAAAAAAAAAAAAAAGGATGACAAGGAAAAAATATAAAAACTTCACAACTAACATTCTGCATCTGTAAAAATAAATAACCCTCTGTGGGTGACAGTACTATCCAGTGTTAGCAAACATGTTAGTTAGGGAAAAAAAATCTTATACAGCTAAAACAATGTTTGTAAAAAAAAGCTTATACAGTTAAAAACACAAAAAGCATCAGAAAACAATGTCAAAAAGCATAGTCAAGATTATATAGTTAAAAGCATATATTGCCTACCATATTATCAGGCATCAGCATCAAATGCTTTGCCAGCTTAAAATGTTACAAACATAGATATATATATATATAATATATACTATATATATATATATATATATATATATAGAGACGAGAGAGAGAGAGGGAGAGAGAGAAAGAGAGAGAGAGAGACAATAATATTAGTTAAAAGCACAAGTTTGTAAAAAAAAGCTTAGTACAATTAAAAAGAGAGAGAGAGAGAGAGAGAAAGAGAGAGAGAGAGCAATAATATAGTTAAAAGCACAATGTTTGTAAAAAAAAGCTTATACAATTAAAAACACAAAAAGCATCAGAAAACAACATCAAAAAGCATAGTCAAGATAATATAGTGAAAAGCATATATTGCCTACCATTTTATCAGGCATCAGCATCCCATCATCTATATTCATTCATGAAATTACAAATAAAGCAGAAGTAACATCCCGAACAATTCTGTTATATTAACTAATCTTGTTGTATTTTTCTCCTCTATTCATCACCACATACAACTCAGCCCCTAACATCCCGAACAATTCTGTTTTATTGTCTAACCTTATCATATTTTTCTCCTCTATTCATCATAGGTACATACAAACAACTCAGCCCCCTCCTTCCAAAACTTAAATTACATGAAATAAAAATATTCATATTTAAAATGTAAACTCATGATCAATGACCAGAGACAGATAAACTAAACCAGATAACTAAGCGATGTCCGAAGAACTGCAAGAATTAGAAACGAAAAGACATGGTAGAACCATCATTACAAGAGAACTACATCAAGGCTTTTCATTCAGTTAAAAAGAGAAGAGAATGTCACACACCTCATTCATGTCATTTTCACCAAGATTCGATGGGTTTTCCGCATAGAAGTTAGCCAGCATTGCAAGAATATCATCACCCTCATTCTCATTCACATATTGGGGAGGATCTGCAGCAGCAACATAATCATCTACAACCACCCCAGTAGCGTTTGAAGCAGATGGCAGAGCCTCATATGGACATATTCCAATAGATCCCGTGCATGTAACCTCAGGCACATGTGAGCTTGTAGCCAGGGAACTGTTTTGATTAATCGGTACCAGGACAGGCATGCCAGAAGAAGAAACAATCCCTACACCGTTGAACTCCTCTTCCTCATCATCATCATCATCCCAATCTTCCTCCTTAAAAGGTGCTCCATATTGAGCACCATTTCTTGGGCCAGGACCATCCTTCTTGAATATCGAACAAAGCACATATGCATCCTGAGCAACTCCTTTAGCATCCAACTCCTTTTCTTTAAGTCTATATTCATACATAACCCAATCTGTTCGTTCCCCTTTAGGTGCTTTCCCTCTGTGAAAAACTAAAGTTTTTATCATCCCCACAACTTCATTATTATATTGAACAGTTCTATCCTTGCCTGTGGTTTTCCAATAACCCAAATCAGTGGCACGATTCATCCTAGTCCCACTTGCATATTTCTTTTCTCTGGGGCAGAAGAAGTACCATTTCAGATCCCCAGTTCTCAAATTGGATCTGTCAGGAAGATCCCATGGAGCATATTTGTAAATATCAATCTCAGCTATGGCATCAAAATGAAGATTCTTTCCCAACACTTTTCTCTTCAGATAATACTTAACAAGTTCAACATCAGTCGGATGAAACCGAAACCCAGGAGGCAGGGTTTTTTTTCCCATCAGGAAAACCAGTAGAAAGTTTCCAAGCCAACAATAAGCTTAAGTTATTAAATCCAAATACAGTACGCTAGCAGCAATCACAAACGGCAAATGATGATAGCTTAGGTTATGCAGAATATAACCCAAATTCAAATCCTACACAGCTTTTTATTTTTTTCTTTTGCATAAAAGATAAACCGAGATATCTAATGGGAAAAGAGTAAGCTTTTGAGTAAATAGGAAAAAGAAAACTTATTGTCAAGTCCAATGTCGAAAAAATATCTTCCGCCAACACCACAGTCTCCCCCGGTTCATAAACTCAAAGTCACACCAAAGAATCGGCAATTTTTTCTTGCAGAGATCAAAAGACATTTGGTGTGCAATATAAACCCTGTTTTAAACATTATTAGGCTCACAAATTCTGCTAAAATAGAAATAAAATATGAAAAAGCAACAAACCTAGATAGATTCCAATCCAAACAGAACACACCCAGATAAAAATTGCACAAAGAACAATAGAAAAACCCAAATCTCAACAACCGCTATTATAAAATCAAATCATCAAACGGAGACAAAAAAATGTCGCAGAAACAAATGCTCAAACAACGTCGAGCATCAAGAACCCTAAATCGATAAAACGAGGCAAATATCAAAACAAACGATACCCTGATATCAACGAAAATTCAAGAACCCTAAATCGATTAAAATCAAGAACCCAAATTCTTTCCCCAAAATAACATGAAACAAATTAAAGGAAGTAATACACAAAAAGTCCAAACAGAAAAAACCCGAACAAAAGAGTACAAAAGAGCAAGGAAGTACCCGGAGAGAGGGCGACGTCGCGGAAGACGCGAGAGAGACGAAAAGAGAGAAAAATAGAGAGCCACCAGCGAAAGAAGGAAAGAAAAACAGTGGAAGAAAGAACGAAATAAGAAAACCGCCTCGGCGTGTTCCTTTTATAGAGAGAAGTAATTTTACTTATTTATTTTTCATATATTTACATTTACAATTTTATTTTATTTAGCAAGACGGAGAGTAATTAAAACAGGAAGCTTCTTTAGGAATCTTCGCTTTTGATTGGTTCGATTGCTTCATTAGTTCTGACTTCTCCACATTGTATCTATTTACTGTCTTCTTATATATACACAATGAATATTTTATTTATATATGTTTTATGCTTTTTTTTCTTCTTTTTAGTGTTAGGGGAGGAGATTCAAATTTATATTTAGTTTCAGATCACGAATACACTTACCAATATACTTTATTTTGGTGTGCAAATTTTATGTTCTAACATCTAATTAAAAAGAAAATGATATTTATATTTCTACCTTTAAAATTATATTTTTCTTAAATTCTTAAAAATAGCTCTTTCCATTTATATTCTTTTTAAAGTAATTACTTTTTTTTATGCACATTGACTATACTCATTATATGTTCATTTTTATACTCTTATATTGTATACATTAATTTCATAATTTTGTTGACATACCCAACTTATCATTCTTCTACTTGACATTGTGTTCCTAAATATCCTTAGGACTATGTCTTTTCTTCCCATCTTACCACTATCGATTTATTACATGATTCCTTAACAAAGTACTATTATATAACTATTGATATTCATTGACTATTGTCAATCCTTTCCGTGATCTTGACTTTTTATTTGCCTTCTAGCTCTTCGATATTTCCCACGTTTGATGTACCTTCGAAATAAAAATGAAAATAATATTATTGAGCTATAACATTATTAAAATAGCTATAACATTTTTTTTCAAATATATATTAAAATAGCTCCTTCATTCCAAATTTATTGTCATTTTAACATGTAACCCAAGCAAACATTCGTCATTTTAAACATATAATGTTATATCATAAAGATTAAGATAAATTCTGGATATTCTGGATTAATATAAATTTCTTATTTCATTATTCTACCTAAATGATTGGAAAAAAGATAGATACATTATTACAGAAATCAGAATTTAGAAATGACAGTTATGCTTTGATAAACTTATTTCGATTCTGTTCATTAGACATTCTAAACAAATAGATTGAGGACCGTTCATTTTTAATTTTGTTCTTTGTTTTTGTGTTTGTTTCTTGATAGTTGCAAATTGAAAGGAAGGTGAAAGAGAACTTGAAGGGTTAAGGGCAATTTTGTACTTTGATCTTTACACTTCGCTGCTTAACACGTGACGTGTCAAGCTATTTGATGTTCTACTCAGCATTATTTTTAACAATTAGTGGGTCCCAAACACTTTATTCATGTTTCTGACAATCCACGTATAATGGAGACACTTGATTGAAAAAAATTTATTGATTCCGACACTTGATTGCAAACGTTTTCCGTTGAAATACTAAAATAAAAATTTTTCGAAAGTTCAAACATTAAATTTATGATTAAGCCTATTATGTTTTAATATATATTTAAATTTATTATTATAAATATATTATATCTTTCATCTTTGAAAAATTTTACATAATGATAAAAATTGATATTTTTGTTATAAATAATCAATAATAAAATTTTTAAATTTTTTTTAAAAAAAATTCTATATTTATTTTATAATATTTTATTTTAATTATTTTTGGTTATAAATAACAAATAACATAATAAAATTCTATTTAATATAGTTTTTTAAAAAAAAGTACATAGTACTATAAAATTTTTAACATTTTACTTCTATTTTATAATATTTTATTTTAATTATGAAAGTCATGAATAATGTTTGTGAAGTTTTTAAATTAAAATATGACTTTTTATTGTTAGAAAGTGAATGGCATTTACTATTTTCTGTTTTCTAGTTTTCATATTCTAAGACTTTACAATTGACAGTTTTCTATAGAAACCTTTTATAAATACATTTAAAATCAGACCAATACATTTTTGTTTTGAATATCTAAAATTAATTTATAAATATTTATGCAAATTATCATATAATCAAAAGTTACAATTTAACACATTTAAAGAGATATTATGAAAATAATCTTACATGGTTTGATTATCTATATGTATAAGAACAAAATTAAATCATTTAAAATCTCAGTTTTAACTTTGATATAAAGTTATTTTTCATAATAAAATCTAATTATATGACTCAAATAATACAATAAAATAAATTAATATGGTTCCATTTATATAATTTTTTGGACACATGGATTTATCAAATATTATAAAAGGAGCTAAATTTTAAGTTAAAATATTTGAATTGTATAATTTTAGTTTTCTTAATTGAAAATATTATATTAAAAGATAATGAGATATCATGTAAATAATACAATTTTTTTTTTTTTGAAAGAATGTATATAATACAATTATAATTGCATAAATACATGCCAAAAATTTTAATGATAAGATAAATAAAAATTTATAATTATTCATTAAATTTTAAATAATTTATTTTGGGTAAATGAATTTGATAGATTAGATAATTACTTATTTTGAAAAAAAAAAAAATTAGAGTTGTATTGAACATAATATTTAAATTCGCACAATTAAACAATTACTTTTATATCAATCTATAATCTATAATATATGTATTTAAATTCGCACAATTAAATTAGAGGGGAACATTGAGTTCCTAAAATGCTCCTATTAAATTTATGAATTAAGAAAAATATTATTACTAATCATATTCTAATTATGATATCAATTTATTATTTTTATTATAATTTAATTATTTTTTATTATATTAATATTATATTAATATTATAAATTTAATTCCATTCTAATTAAAAATTTGTCATATCATACCATTATATATATATTCAGTTTTAATTACTTTTGGCTATCAAGAATTTGTTGCTTTTAACTATAAAAAATTGTTACGTCAATCTTTTGCTAATTTGAAATTATTGAATTTGCAATCATGTTTTCTTGCTGCTGTAAGTATAACCTTAACTTTCTCTATTTACAAATTAATAGAATGGTTTTTATTTATAGTTCTTATAAATTATATTTATATATTATATATAATATATATGGTAAGAATATAAAATTTAAGGATTTTAATTTTATTGGTTGAAAAATAAAGCCAATTTAATTATTAAGGATATACATTTCCTATTTAAATATAAATTATATTGGATAAAATAATAAATTATATTTTATATTATATAAAATATATATGGTAAGAATATAAAACTTAAGAATTTTGATTTTATTGGTTGAAAAAATAATGATAATTTACTTTTGAAGAAATAAATCCATTAGTTCAAAAAAAAAAAAAGGAAATAAATATCATTGATTTTTTAAATATAATTTGTATCAATTAATTGAAATTTATATTCTCTTCACAGTTAATATATGCAAATGTTAGTTAATATTAAATAATATTTAAAGTAATACAAAATGAAATAAACTAATCAAATATATATGATTCCTAATAATAATAAATTAATTACGTATAATAATAAATTAATTAATAAAACTTATATATATATATAATATAAATTATATTTATTAATATTAAATTCAAGATATATATTAGAAATCATAATCTGAAACATTCATAATTTTAATTAAGCATCGAAAATCCTATTGGTAGAAAGTTTGTTGATTGACTCCGATATTAAATCCAATTAATATTTATAATTTTATTGCAAAGGACTTAACTATATATTAAAAATCTAAAAATAAGTTAAATTTATAAATTATAAATGAAATTTTTTTTCTTTTCCTCATATTCCTTTTGTGTGCTTATGTTAGCTAGCTTTTGTCCTTTAATCATTCCTTGAATGTCATTAATTATTTTTATCCTTAATTTTACTAAGTAAATTTCTTGAATCATTTTCATAGTATAATTTGTATTATTTTTTTAAAAAAGTATCATTTAAATCATGAATTGTAATTTTTTAACATTTAACACTTCTTCTTTTTTTTTATATGTTTTTAAAGTTGTTTGCATAGTGTTTAGAGTTTAAAATTTATTATAACTGTTGATTTTAATATTAAATCCTATATATTATGATAATAAAAGGATAATAATTAAATTGATAACTCAATTGGAAAATTAATTTATATCAACATAACTATAGCTTTTCTTTGACTACTATCAATGTTATGAACTCTCTATTATCAGAGAATGAGTTTACATTTGACTTATTACATATTGAGAAACTATATCATTTAAACTACTTATTAATAGAAACTAAGATACAATTTTAATTTTTGATTTTGTTTTTATTTCGGTATACTATACGAACAACATTTAACGTTGAATACCCAATAATCCTTATATATGTTTTTTATTTTTTTTTGAAAGAGATAAAAGATCATAGCCTTGGCATTCATTATCATAAACTACTCAGACAAAACAATGAGGGAAGATATAATTCCAAGATAACCGTAGAATGCGCAACAAGCGAGATAACGAAGCTCGAAGTTAGGGTTACATGTATAATTCCAGATACGTAGATGCGCAAAGCGAATAGAAGCTCGAGTTAGGGTATGAGCCTTTAAGTTCGCTTGCCTACGAATCCATCTACACGAAACTAAAAGGAGTTCTAAAAATAAGTTCTTACAATCATAAATAATACTCCCAACATCCGATCTGAATAAAATAGAGGAGCTCAAAGCAAAAAATAAAACCTGGGAGTCTATGAAAATAGTACCTCCACGCTCAGCATAATTTTGCTTGAGAAATAATAAAAAGCTACCAAGAGCTAGAGCCTCTGCAATAAAAGGGTCCGTACCACCTGTAAGGTGGCCTGAAACTGCTCGAATAAAAATGCCTTCCTCTGTCTCCATCGCCGCTCCAAAGCCTTGCATGCCTTCTTGCTCAAAAATAGAACCATCCACAAAAGCTTACCATGATTGGTCTCCACTGTTGCTAAGACGTCCAAGTGGGAATATTGCAAGCCGCTGCCGACTTGTATTTGAGGATGCACTAGCCATGCTCTTTTGCGCCAACTTTATACGTTCCCAACTAATCATGTATTCTTTTGCCTTCAAGAATG